CATAAAGGGGGGGGGGGGGCACATCTTTGTTGGTAGCCCTGAATGGGTGGTGAAAGTTCCACGTTCATATGACAAGCGCCTTCGTAGGACGTATGGAGGCACGTTGAACTTCTTTCGCACCGTACGTAGCCAACCATGCTAATCGGGAGGTGCAGGGCAAACGTTATTGCTTTGCTCCAAAAAGCAGAACCCATTTTATTGGCCTGATGAACAATAAAGGTGGGGTCCTAGTTGGCTCCCGAGTTGCAATGTACAATTTTAAACCTTCGGGCAACATCAACCACCTGGTTGGATGTAAAGATTATGAAGGCTGAAGGTGCAGTCCTCGGAAGTGATTGCTCTACACGGCCCCTCTGGAGAATATTTGGCCCACTCATCCACACCATCCGGAGGTGGGAGCGCCCCAATCTTCACCCCACCACACACGACCTGCCAATTAACGAACTGGTTTAAAGGGGAATGTGTTATCAAAATTCGTATTGAAACTATATATATATCCTGCATTAATGCTGTAAAATTTGAAGGGGAAAGATGAACGTCAATCTAACGGAATCGACTCGACTATAAAGCAGCACATTTGTGAATACAGTTACTGTGGACGACGGCTTACGCTTATTTAATTTGTTACAGGCACAATAATCGTCTATTTTTAGCAGTTCAAAGGTCTCGGCTGAGCTTTAGAGTGGATTGCTGGAGGAGGGGGGGTAATGCGTTGCAGACGGTAATATCAACTCACTAGAGAGCAGATATCTCTCTCTCTCTCTCCAACTATGCGTAAATGTGATTTTAATCAGGAATGAACTCTAACCACTCGTTATAATTATCATTCATACCCAGGGACTCGCAAAGAAGGAAATGCTCACATCGAATATCTGTCATAGTAGAATCCTGATATCTAAACGCAGTGTGCTTTAGCTGGACATTAGCAATATCAGTTTAAATTACACAAGCAGCAAGGGGGTTTTAAAAGCTGTGGGCTGGGCAGAAGGGAGAGGCTGAATTCAAGTCTGGTGTCATGGCTCAAAAACCACCGCAGGTCAATAAAAGCCATAACCTGGAAAAAATGTATGCCCCTTTTAAATACAATCTTCAACAATAACCAGAAGGAAAAAAAATCTTATTGTTTTTTTTTCAGCTTTGTACATGGTCGATTTCCATGGCAACGGAATTGCAGCTGTAACCACTAAATAATAACGTAAGACTCACCTGTGAATTTTTTGCGCTCATTCTGTAGGGGTTCTCCTAGAGCTCCCTCTCGTGGAGGCCCGTCTGCCAACAGTGGTGCAAGCAGGCAATTGCAGTGCTGCGCCTTTTAACTTTTATACATGGCGAGTTGATGCGATGCACAGAGGAGCCCATTCAATCGCCACGTCTAATATGCCTGCATTGCTTTTGTAAATTCTGTTCCTGTGGAATCGCTAATATTGATTACACCACAATGCTCACATGGTTTAAATTGATTGTGTACAGATTTAAAGTTTAAAGCCATCCGTAAACAACTATCTAGCTAGATCTGAGAACCAGATTATCCTACAAGTGGGTCTCTTGTTATACATAAGCTTCAGAACAGGGCTACATAGATCTAGTTAGATGCATTATATAAGGCCTCATAAGTGCAAGGCTCGGAATGGACAAATTAAACTGGCTAATGTATCGTTCAAGCATGAGCGATATGTGTACCATCATGTGAACAGCTTCACATGAACTGGCAGTCTAAAACTATGCTACAATTTCAAACCTATTACCGTAACAGATTAATAGATTAACCTGTGATTAACCTAGCTTTGAAGCATATACAATCGTTTGCAAAACAATTCGATCACTTGCATTAAAAGTGTTAATTTCTCAACGTAAAATGAAAATGGATGTTTCCATTGCAAAATTGTCATCGTGAACCAAATCACTGCTCTCACAATGCAATTAGCATACAATGTGAGGTTACAATTGAAAGCATGAATTAATTAAATAATTTCCTGCCCTTTATTCAAAACGATTCCACCAGCCAACTATTTCGCCGGCAATTTTGTCATAAATCCCATGGCCAGCCAGGATCACTCCACTGCTGGATTAAGAGCTCCACGAGCTGTCACAAATCTTACAGTTAGAGACCTGCAACGCAACAATCCTCACAGCACCTGCACCCGGAACAGTATCATTGCTCCATCTCCGCGGTGGACGTTCTCACGGATGCATTCCAGTCCGTGGCTACCACACTGTCACTATTCTTGACCATAGGCCACCATCCCCCTTCCTGGCCGCGATGTGTCCTGCCCAGGCCCATGTACCTCTCTTAACGGTTTGAATTTTGTTTTCGACACGGACAATGTCCTCCAAAATCCGTGTGTCAGAATTAATTTGTACAAATAAAACGTAGGCGATTCTCACAAGCGAAATTTTGACAGTGCATCTTCAGCCTTAATCAAATTTGAAACTAAACTATAAAACCGAGCTACATAGCTCTATTTCCCAGAAGCGAGCTGGGTCACAAAATTAAAGCTATGCATCGTGTGGAAATTAATAGTAGCCAAATACTCCAAACGCATGTTTATAAATCTGGAGGGCAACACCAGAGGACCCGGACAAAATCCACGAGACCACAGGGGAAAACACGCAAAGTCCAAATATACAGGCGTCAGGGCCGGGATCGAACCCACGACATCCTGTACACCAGGCGAGGGAGATAACATCAAGCCAGCACGGTGCCCCCTTTTTATCCGATGGATCGGTACATGGACTAATTTGTGCTACTCGAGTCAAACATGTCCCTTTTGACAGCGTGATGAGAATTACCTTAACGCCCCCGCTTCCCTCCCCCAGCTCTCGACTCTGATCTGTGTATACGCCCCCTGGACCTGACTTTGTTATCTTTACTCGGCGCTCGTTAAATGTACCCACGGCACACTGTCTTGTCCATAGTCGAACCCAATCAGGGAGCAGCGCCTTTAAAGTTATCAGCAGGCTGTAATTATAGACTATGTAACACAATTTTTGTTCCTGGGTAGTAAGTGTTATTTTCTAATTGCTTATGCCTCAAAAGTATAGAAAATGGCTATTATTCCCCACAAACTTTGTTTTTGTGACCAGGACCTTACGTGAAGGAATGACACAAATTCGCCCGTTTTCTCCATGAAAATATGTCAATTTCAAAATATCGCTGTCCTGGTCACAAAAGCAAAGTTTGTGGGGAATAATAGCCATTTTCTGTACTTTTGAGTCATAAGCAATTAGGAAATAACACTTACTACCCAGGAACAATAAATAGATATTGTTACACAGTAATTATCAAATAATTATAAATCAGACAGGGGAGTTTGATGCCAGGTGGTTACAATTTCGGCAACACATTCCTTTACACGCTTTTACATTTTTTTGAAAGTGGCGAACTTTTGATGACCTCCGGCGGGGTTGCGGGTGGGCGGGCATAAACATTCCAAAAACAATCTGAGCCGCGGTTGTTGGTGAAGACTGCGGGGGCTCTGTCGACTCTCGGTGGGACGCGTGCCACCGCCGCCGCCGTCGTCATCATGGCCGTACGCGTGGAGCCACCGGCTGAGTATTTGGCCGCTGCTACACATTTCCAAATGTGATAAGCCACTTCGTGGAGCCATCATTTGTAATAGCCAGGTCACTTCTGAAAAAAAGCTATATCGCTCAGTGGGCCTTACCTGGTAAAAAAAAAAATGTTTTTGGTGGAGGGCCCCTCCTCTAAGAGGTTATTTTGGCCTACTCTTCCACTCTCAGACTTCTCGGTTCGATATTATCTTCCGGCGTGGCTTTTGAAACTATGGGCAAGCATCTCAAGTTCGGGTTTTGTACCACCACTATCGTCCAGTGGGTGACATCGACAGTCAATAAATTTGCATGCCACTGGCCCACACTTTACCCCACCACACGTGACCCGCTGAGACACGAACTGTGGAGTACACACTCATACTGCCGGGAGAACAGAGGCGAAGGTGATTTGAAAAATTCCCATCCTTTCGGCTTCTGCATCGGTGACAAGTCGATCGAAAGTCCAATTGCGTTAACCACAGCAACCCCACTGTAGCACCCCAGTCCAATTCTAGGCCTTTAATAACCGATGACATCTCTGCCGACACCCCTGCACGTGTTCTCTGACACTGGGCAAGCTCTTGAAGAAGACACGCACGTGAAACTTGGCGAAAACTTTAGAGGGCTTGCAAGGGGGGACACGACGGAATTCCAACTCAAAACTGGCGGCGCTTTTCTGCTGCGCGATCGTGGAACTTGCAGAGCAACCGGCGTTGGGGAACCGGGGTTGGGGAGGGGTAAGAGTCTGACCGAAAAAAATAATTGCTCGAGCCTTTCACAAGCACCATGCAATGCCAAGCAAAGATAAATGACTCTCAATTGACACCGAACGAAACAACAACAGCAAACAATGAACCCTCAATGTTTACAAACCCGAAGAACGTGGGTAAAATATTCCCGGACACAAAAAAACAACCCAGAATGCAAAATTGTTTAAAGAATACGAAACAAGAAAACAAAACCCGCTAAATCGATGCGCCGGTGTCCCGCACACAGCCAGTGGAGATGCTGGAGACGAATGCCCTGTCGGTGGAGATTGCGGATTGTTTAAACTAATTGCAGCACCTGGATGAAGGAGCAGGTGGCCTGCAACTGGTTTTGTCTGAGCCGCAAGGGCATGAGGACCCGATGGAAACATTCACTCTCTCTCTCTCTCTCCAAATCCACCACTAAAGCTGCCCGACGCTTGCCCGCAACGACGACACCCACTTCTATCAAGGTACTTTATCCTGGGCACGAGCTGTAGGTCGCATCCTCCATACTCCGGTACGAATGATGCCAACCGGGAAGCCTTCACAGTTTACAACTTGACCCCCAGCCGCAACCGCCACACCTTGCTTGCAGCACAATGTGGAACACTTAGGTTGTGCCCGTCAGCCAGCAGCCGTCTGGAACGCTGTTCTGTCCGATATTAGGAAGTCACTGGAGCTACGCACTTTTAAATCGTCATCTAGATAAAAAAACTAATTCATAACGTCTTTTTGCATTTAGTTTGCTGACCTACTCCCCTACACTTCCGAATAGAACGGTTGACTACGTACGGATACGTACAGATTCCCACGTGTTCTCACTCACCCGGTGCCACCCTCCCCTCCCCACAAGTCAATACAGGGAAACTTAGATTTATACTGCGCCCGAAACGTAACAAACATCTGGGGACGCCGCGTGTTTCTTAGCCCAGGGGACCCACCCTCCTGATGACAGCAGTTGGCATTAGTCTGCTATTATGGGTAGGGGTGGTGCGGTGGAGGGATATTGCTATTGCCTTTCCAATTCAGCAATACGGAAGTAATATATTTTTTACTTGGCACATTCGGACCGTGACACAGGCACGCAAGGCCTAGTATGGACATCTGTGAAAAAAGAGCTTCGTAGCCCATTGGATTCCTCCAGCATGAATATTCCGATTCTGAATATCTGTCCAATAACGTAACTGCATCATTAACGTCTACCGCGACGCCGAGGGCACACATCACGTGACTAATAGACCGCGCACAGTAATGACAAGAGTGGTGTGGGCGGGATCGGGATGCTGGCAAGGCGGGTGCGATGGATTAAAACCCAACGCTCCTCCACTGCGCGTGCTGCGAGCTGGCGTGTGTGGGGTTGCGACCTGCCGCCGTCGCAGCAGCAGCCGCCGCCCCTACACGCCCTGGGTCTGCTTCTCGCGGGACTCCACCCACGCCTTGCTGATCGTTCTCTTCATGTCGTCGTCGCCGTCATCGTACATCTGCTTGAGGATCTTCATGAGTCCCTCGCTGGGGTCAACGTCCTCCTCCATCTTCGGCTTCCTGTCACGGGCAGGGCAACGCACGCGGGGGGAGGAGAGAGCGGCGATCGCCGTGTGAAAGCGTGCTAAATAATCGCAAGGGGCGCTGCGGTGTTGCGAGCCGTTAGCTGCCTCGCCTGGCATGCAGGAGGTCGAGGGTTCGATCCCGAGCCTGCCGCCAGCATGTTTGGAGTTTGTATGATCTCCCCGTGGTGGCGTGGATTTTTATGAGGGTCCTCCGTTTTTTCCCTCCACATATAGAATCAACATGCGTTGAAGAGTATACATTTCCAGGTGAAAAGCCACTTCCGTTGAGCTATCACTTGTAATGGGCAGGTCGCTTCTGTAAAAAAAGAGTTATTTACTGGGTAAAATAACGAAAAAATTGGTTTGTATTTGGTTTAGTTTGTGGAGAATGTTGGCGGCAACACGGTCCAGTGGAAGCCCGTTTATAGCTGGCCGCGGTTGGATCACGGTTCAAATATGAGTGTGTTAACCGTACAGTGGATGCAAAAGATCCCCCCCACCACCACCACCACCCCCCGACGTCACTTGAAATGCCAAGGCCATTGTGTGCCATCATCAATTTTGAAAAAAAAAATGGATGAACTTAAGCTAAAACGAGGACTTGGCGCAAGTCCCGTAGGGAGGAGACAGAGGGCCAGGTGTGTTAGAGGCCACAAAACGCACCGTCATGTGGCCTCAAAAATTGTAAATGTTGTGGATTCAACTCTTCAACACACCGGTGGGCTAAAGTAGTGAACTATTTGTCTTTTGTCAACATGACACATTTTTTACTGATTGGCCGTGTCGGGTGGTGGAGGGTTGCGACACATTTATAAATAACGCAATCTAACCCAAAAACCTTTATTATTATTATTAATAATATTGGTCGCGAAAGCCTACGTGTTAAACTGTCATGTGGACGTGTAAAGCGTTGGGGAACGGTGGGATCTGGCCGAATGCATGCAGGAGCGCGTCTTAGTTGCGGAGAGGTTTTGACAAAGGAAGTCCCTAACTGCAGCAGGCGGTGGCTCCTCCCAGTGATTCCAGTGGCCCTGCCCACGGGGGTTCTACTGCAGAAAGCACTCGCGTGAATGAAACGCCATAACCACGTCCTCCAGCGAGATCGACAACCCTACAGCACTAGTGCAATAAAGCAATTTATCTTACAGCCATTTAGGATGTGCAATTTTTTTTTACCGTTGTAGGATATGTAATTAAAAGTTTGTTCTACATTCCCCCCACCAGCCCACCCCCCCCCCCCCCCCTGCAATATTATTCCAATCCTGCTATTGGTGTCCAGTCACAAGATGACAAATGCAAAGCAGATATCAAGGAGCTACCTCTGAGATGCCTTCAAGTCACCTGTAACAAACACATTTGGGCGCAGCACTCTCCCACCTGCTTCGCCACTGAGAGTAATGCACGTTGCATGACTGTCAAACCGGTATTCTTCATATTCTTCATTCTTAGTGCTAGAATTTGGCCAAATTACACGCAGAATCAAATTGAAGGTGATCATGTTTGCGTGCCGTCATCGGTGATCGGGCTGAGACCATCAACTCGCCACACGTGAGAATCCGTTTTCATCACCAGTCGGTTAAAACCTGGATTTCTAACCCAGAACCTCAGTGGTGCCGGTTCAGGGCCTACCTCAAAGCTACTCTGCCACCTCGCATTTAAAGTACTCTTTCGCGTACCGCATTGAAAATAAAAAAAGTGTGAAAATCAAGAGACTGCTGAATCATAATAACCACAAAAATCACACACACGCGTGTACAAATTATACTCGATAAACCACGGCGCGTGCACGTGCATGCACACGTACACGCACGGCAAAACACACGGCCCTCAACTCGCAACGTCGAACGCAAGTGTCTTTCATGTTTCTCCTGTGACCGGGGCCCTCCGTACCAAGACTTTTCGCGCCTTACATAATTTATGCCCTTCAGAATCACAAAAGGTATTGCCGCTGCGGAAAATACGAGAACTAGTTTGGCATGTCTCTTGCCCTATGGAAACCCCCGTAACGCGGGCGCAACTGCTGTGCGCGCTCGCGCAGCCTCCCAGCGCCAACAGAAAAAATCTTCGGCCAACTTGCGTCGCCCGCGAACCCGAGAGACCGAGGCGCCATCGACGCCGTGAGAGCCGCCCGTCAGCCGCCACCGTTTGAAGGCATTACCCGCGGCGCGGGAGCGTGAAATAGTTGGGTCGGGATCGCCTCCCCATCGCCAGACGAAGGCGATGATGAACGTTCAAAGCCGCCCAAACTGCCTACTTACGAGACGCCACCAAACACCGTCATTTTAAAAGCCCGGCCCCTACAGGAGGGCAGCCGAGGCAACGTCGGCGAGAGCGATGATGCCCCTTCATCATTTTGCTGATCACGCCGCTGTGTTCCCTTAAAGGGCTCCCTGCTGCGCTGCAGCTGCAAGGGCCATGCTTCACTGGTTAACGGTGGTGTGAACGTCGCTGTGCTGTCACTAATGTGCTGCTGCTATGACTACTGCTGCTGCTGGCGAAGTGGCCTCGCGTGCTTGTTACGTCCTCTTAAGGGCATTCCCGTGCCGCTGCAACGTCTTGGCGTAGGCTCACTTTGTCACGAGAGAGACGGGGGGTGGCTAGGTGGCTCAAAAGGTCAGAGTGCCGAGACGGAACCGCCGAGAAACCTGGGCTCGAATCCCGGCAGCCACCTCAAGTGTAGAGAGTTGACGGTTTCAGCCTGGCCATCACAATGAATTTGGATCTGCACTTACATTGGCTACGTTCCAGCTCTGAGAATAAATAAAAAAAATAACATTGAGTGTCAAGCGACAAACACGACTGTCAGTGGAAGAGGGGTTGGGAAAGTTTCTGTCCTCTATTCTGCAGACCAAAGGTCACTTGAAGGGATTTCAGAGGTAGCTCTGTAGTATCTGCTTCTTTGGGCCGTTCTCTAACATGAAGGGCTTTCACACTGCTCTGTGAGTGGCCTGGACGGATAAATCCCACGAGATAAGGCCAATATGACGATCGAGATAACATTGTGGGCTGGAAGAAGACATTTAAACGGATAAGTAACGATTTCATTGAGCAGGACAGCGGATCAATATAGCTTAACTAATTATTATTTATGAGACATGTAATGATTCCCCCCAACCATCGTTGATTCGATGAATTGTCACAATTTTGGGTCATGATTCAATAACAAAAAAATCATTATCTAACATTGTGGTGAACGCAGTGGCTGCAGGTTTCATGGAAAGTAAGTAAGTACAGATAAATATCTGAATCTAAAATAATTGATTCTCACATGCACAACGCGACGCACATATCACGAGCGCAAGAATCTATTTCAATCTCCGAACCGGTGCGCACCGCTTTATCGCCCACTGAACTATTTTTCGGCTTAAGTTTACATCTTTTCATTGCGATCGTCATTCACAGCTGTGCACGCTCCATATTTCAAAGCGTTTCCTTGCTTTTCCAAGCCGTTTTGCAGGGGGTTCCTAAGGTCACCTGATTAGTAGGTGACCGGAGAAAGTGCAGAGGGGAGCTAAGTAAATGAGAAGGGCCTCTACGGAATCCCTTAATCACTCCATCGGCACCGCCGCGTCTCGCAAAAACAGGCAAGAGCAACACCCGCGCCTAACCCCAACGGCAACCTCCGAGCCACCCACCCACTCACCCGTGGCGCTGCACGCACCTCTGCTACTTTCATTGCACGCAGTGATTTATAGCCTCGGTGTTCCTTAAGCGGTGGGAGACCTAGGAAATGGTTTAGTTGTATTATTATTTTCAGTCGGCAATGCTAAATAGGGCCCGCGTTCTCGATAAGCCGTGCAATGACTGTCTCCACGCGAGTCTTGTTTCGCGCAAACAGGTGCGAGCGTTAATTAACCGCGTGCATTCTCCATTGCGCTGAGATACTGGCTGCGGCGCAGCAGGGGGTAATGAGCGGCGTGTGATCGGATGCACCAGCGGTGGAAGTTGGAAGGAGTGCGGCTGAGAGCGGAGGTGGAGGAGAGCATGCTGGGGCATGCGGTGTCTCCACACACTACGAGCTCGCATGATCTCCGAAACTTAACGACGTAAATAGTCGACCGTACAATAATCAGGGCCCCCACTTCCACGAGGGCCCCGCGGTACGGCTTCCAGTTAGGAAAATAAAGCGGAATGTGAATCGATATATCACGCTGAGCTCGGGGCTGGAGGCCGCCACAAAGCAGCCCGTGAACAATGGCATCGGGTACGGCGGAGATAACGTAACCCTTCTTCCACCCACGGGCCCTCCTCCATGGTTCAACACCCAAGTTCAACTCGGGTGCCGCGCGGCAGCCCCGACACCGCGAAGCACGCCGTTACACACGACGCGGTGTCAAGCGCGTGCCCCACTATCTAAATCGGGAAAGTTACTTAATGAGCTCAAAATTAACCACCCACTGCAAAAATGACAGTGCCCCGCCGCTAAAAGCGATGACGTGCACGCGAGACGCATGCGGAACGGTGAGGCGCCGCCGCACGAAGCTGCCACACGAAGCTGCCAGGAGTTAATTATTCATACTTAACCCCACGGGCGGTGCCGTCGTCATAACGATGGGCGCACTGGACTTGCAATCCAGAGGTCGCCGGTTCGATTTGATCTCCCGGCACAGCGGCTGAAACAACGGCGCGCGAGTTTTTCGATTCCCTCCCAGCCGCCTCTGTCCACCCAGCGATGCACACGGGGTTCAACCACGGTCAGTCGATCGGCAGGGCGCGTGCGGTGGGGCAGAGCATGGGCACTCTGGGCCAGAGTGTGGGCACTCTGGGGCAGAGTGTGGGCACTCTGGGGCAGAGCGTGGGCACTCTGGGGCAAAGTGTGGGCACTCTGGGGCAGAGTGTGGGCACTCTGGGGCAGAGTGTGGGCACTCTGGGGCAGAGTGTGGGCACTCTGGGGCAGAGTGTGGGCACTCTGGGCCAGAGTGTGGGCACTCTGGGGCAGAGTGTGGGCACTCTGGGGCAGAGTGTGGGCAGTCTGGGGCAGAGTGTGGGCACTCTGGGGCAGAGTGTGGGCACTCTGGGGCAGAGTGTGGGCACTCGCAACCCTTCCCAAGGTGTCTGGCCAGCATGGGAAAGAGTAGGCCAAAGTACCACCCCTGCAGGGGGATCTCTAGAGCTGCCTCGAGTGGAGGCTCTTCCGGCAGAAGTGGCGTGAGCAAGCAATTGCAGGGCTGCGCCTTTGCCCATCTCGCCACGTTACTTACTCTCTGTCAAGAGTTTTCTTCTCCAAGGACGTGAGGAACTTCCACGTTTCCTCCTTGGTTTTTCGGCACATCACCAGCACGGAATCGGTCTTCACCTGCAACGATCAATGAGGCAATGTAGCATGAGGTACGTTGTTTAATTAAGCGCTCGTTCCGCTACCGGCTCATCTTCACACACTCGCTGCACAGATTAATTCCACTAAACTGAGCAGCTCCATTCCCAGGAAAAAAATATGTTCAATAAATAAACCTCATGCTGCCCTGCTGCGAAATGAATTATTTACGTGCGACTCATGGTACAAGTAAAAATTTTAATTTCTCTAAAGTGCTTACGCTGGTTTCCTTGTAATGAAAACGTCGTGGAATTTCAACACCCGATGACATTTTGATTATTTATTTCTTATTTACATCAGTTTTTTTTTTTGCCTTGTTTTGCATCACGAACACGTTTAAGTATAACTACTAACGCGTGGTCAGGATGTTGGCGACTGGCTGCAATGGGCTGTGATGGAGGCAACACTGTACAACGCTAGGGGAAGCGGAAGACCTCGACCCGACTGGAAGTCAAAGACAAAACGGTGGAGGCGATGGAAGCTGTCTCGATTGAAAGACGCAGCGACGGACAAAGAGAAGTGGAGAGAGACAACTGCAGGGAGATGTCAGTGAAGAGACGGTTATGTCTCAATGGCAAAGGCACGAATAGGAAGAGTATATTCTATACAGGCAAGCACTTGGAAGAGGGCCATCAACATTAAATGGTAGTGGGGTCATGATGCTGCTCCTAAACTGACTTCGGAACTATGGGGATAATTGTGGAGTGGAACGTTTTTAGAGTGGTCAAAATGGTTTTGACGATTATCAAATGTGCCACCAAACTCAGAAACAAGAATCATTATTCATCCAGGAGACATCCGATGAGCTATGAAGTTCTTTTTTTCTTTTTACAGATGTTCAGCAGGGTTGAGTCAGAAAGTTACAACAACAAACAATACAAAAAGAGGATTGGAGTGAGAAGTTTAGGGGAAAGGTAAGCAAATCACAAAACATACATAAACTAAAACTAAATTTTGATTTAAAGCTTTCGTGACTGCAGGGATTCATATTCTTGGTTCTTTCGGTAAAGTCATGTAGAAGGGAAACAATAAAATAATAAAAATATAATACAATAAAATTATCACGACGTTTCGACTGCAACACAAGCAATCATCATCAGGTGTGAAAACCACAGCAAGAAAATGTTCTTGTGTTATATTTTTATTATTTTATTGTTTCCCTTCTACGTGACTTTACCGAAAGAACCAAGCATATAAAACTAAATTATTTACCAGTTAAAGCGTACCGAGCTATTAGTTATTCTTCAGAAGCGACCTGGCCACAAATGATAGCTCGATAAAGTGGCTTATCGAGAGGAAATTTAGTGCAGCATCTACCTTGTGTGCTGTGCCGGCCTTCATAGGTGCTTACTCGTCAACATCACTTTCCCCAACAGTCTGTTAAGGCTATACGTGGGTGGGGGAGGGACGGGGGATCTTTGCTTATTTTAATTATTAAAAGGGGCACTAACCACACAAAGGCCCAACATTGCCTAAGGGCTGTCTGCCTGCTGCAGTGGGCAGCGGGAGGGCCACAGGCCCTGCAGAGTGCGCGCCTCTTGTTTACTTTGCTCTGGGACCGGTGTGCCGATAATCCGGGGATCCGCTGAGCTCTGCAGGAGATTTGCCTTTGGTAAAGATCAGTGCACCGCGGCGCTCCACACTACACTGCATTAACCAGGATAGCGGAAGCAGAGAGACGGAGGGGGAGAGATTCTTGCAGCAGGAAGGGGGGAGGGTGGAAGAGCGACGGCAGCGTTACCTTCCAGGAGCTTTTGGCGGGGTCGATGGGATGCAGCAGCTCGATAACGCTCATGCTGTAGGTCTTGCCTTCAAAATCCCTTACAAGCAGGCTGAACGACCTGCGGGAAAGGAGACAAGGCGGAGCGCGAATCAAATAACCGGCGCAACATCAAACGTTCACAAGCAGGCGAGCAGCAGCACCCGTCGTTGCTTGCAGCGAAAAAAAAAATATTTCGTGGTTGTCAGAAGTGGCTCAAGAGGTCAGAGCGATCAGCTGACACGGATGAGAGCCTAGGTTCGAATCCAGGTTTGAGCCGACAGTGATTAAACCAGGTTGTCAAGTGTTGTGGGATTATGGGCGAAGCCCGGTCGCCAATGGCTGCGCAACAACAAATCCCAACGCATTAAATGCGGTTGTGGACTTAATTTCGGCTCGATGAAAGGCTATGAAATTTAAAATATTGGTTTGACGGTCACGTCGCTTTAAGGGAGGTCAACAGTGGATGCCCTACGCAAGCAGTCTCCTCCACCGACTCAACAGTCGGGAACAGGAGATGCGCGAGAGCCGCAGGACGACTTATGGCCATTGAACAGCTGCGTTCGAGCAAGATCCGTCCGAGTTCGGAGCGAGCCGAACGCTTGGAAACACGGCCAGGGGATTTGTTGATTTGCCGCGCAGTTCCCGCTGCTGAAGCCAGTGGGAACCGGACCTATGGGAGCGAGATGTTAACTACCTCGCCTGGTATACACAGGAGGTCGAGGGGGTTCAATACCAACCCTGACGCCTGTATATTTCGAGTTTGAGTGTTTTCCCCATGTCGCATGGATTTTTCTCCAGGGCCTCCGTTTTTTTTTCCTCCACATTTAGAAACACGCGTTTAAGAGTATTTGACTGCTGGAAACTTCCACGGAATGATAAGCCACTTCGTTGAGCTATCATTTGTGGCCAGGTCGCTTCTGAAAAAGAGTTATATAGCTCAGTAGGGCGAAGACCCCGGGGCTGGCCCAGGACAAGCTGGTGGAACAATGTCGCTCGGCTGGCCTGGAAACGCCTGGGAATTCCCCAGGAAGAGCTAGAGTCTGTGTATAGTAGTGTACAGGGTAGTGTACAGTAGTTCATAGTGTAGTGTACAGGGTAGTGTACAGTAGTTCATAGTGTAGTGTATACTAGCGCATAGTGTAGTGTATAGTGTAGTATATAGTGTAGTGTATAGTAGTGCATAGTGTAGTGTATAGTGTAGGAGTGTATAGTAGTGTATAGTGTAGTGTACAGTAGTGTATAGTGTATCGTATAGTAGTGTGTAGTGAAGTAGTGTACTGTAGTGTATAGCGTAGTGTATAGTAGTGTACAGTGTAGAAGTGTAAAGTAGTGTATAGTGTAGTAGTGTATAGTGTAGTGTATATTATTGCAAAGTCTTGTAGTGTATAGTAGTGTATAGTGTGGTAGTGTATAGTAGTGTACAGTGTGGTAGTGTATAGTAGTGTACAGTGAGGGAAAAAAGTATTTGATCCCCTGCTGATTTTGTATGTTTGCCCACTGACAAGGAAATAATCAGTCCATAATTTTAATGGTAGGTTTATTTGAACAGTGAGAGACAGAATAACAACAAAATATCCAGAAAAACGCATGTCAAAAATTTTATAAATTGATTTGCATTTTAATGAGGGAAATAAGTATTTGACCCCCTCTCAATCAGAAAGATCTCTGGCTCCCAGGTGCCTTTTATACAGGTAACGAGCTGAGATTAGGAGCACACTCTTACAGGGAGTGCTCCTAATCTCAGCTTGTTACCTGCATAAAAGACACCTGTCCACAGAAGCAATCAATCAATCAGATTCCAAACTCTCCACCATGGCCAAGACCAAAGAGCTCTCCAAGGATGTCAGGGCCAAGATTGTAGACCTACACAAGGCTGGAATGGGCTACGAGACCATTGCCAAGCAGCTTGGTGAGAAGGTGACAACAGTTGGTGTGATTATTCGCAAATGGATGAAACACAAAAGAACTGTCACTCTCCCTCGGCCTGGGGCTCCATGCAAGATCTCACCTCGTGGAGTTGCAATGATCATGAGAACGGTGAGGAATCAGCCCAGACCTACACGGGAGGATCTTGTCAATGATCTCAAGGCAGTTGGGACCATAGTCACCAAGAAAACAATTGGTAACACTATGCGGTGAAGGACTGAAATCCTGCAGCGCCCACAAGGTCCCCCTGCTCAAGTAAGCACATATACATGCCCGTCTGAAGTTTGCCAATGAACATCTGAATGATTCAGAGGACAACTGGGTGAAAGTGTTGTGGTCAGATGAGACCAAAATTGAGCTCTTTGGCATCAACTCAACTCACCGTGTTTGGAGGAGGAGGAATCCTGCCTATGACCCCAAGAACACCATCCCCACCGTCAAACATGGAGGTGGAAACATTATGCTTTGGGGGTGTTTTTCTGCTAAGGGGACAGGACAACTTCACCACATCAAAGGGATGATGGACGGGGCCATGTACCGTCAAATCTTGGGTGAGAACCTCCTTCCCTGAGCCAGGGCATTGAAAATGGGTCGTGGATGGGTATTCCAGCGTGACAATGACCCAAAACACACGGCCAAGGCAACAAAGGAGTGGCTCAAGAAGAAGCACATTAAGGTCCTGGAGTGGCCTAGCCAGTCTCCAGACCTTAATCCCATAGAAAATCTGTGGAGGGAGCTGAAGGTTCGAGTTGCCAAACGTCAGCCTCGACTTGGAGAAGATCTGCAAAGAGGAGTGGGACAAAATCCCTCCTGAGATGTGTGCAAACCTGGTGGCCAACTACAAGAAACGTCTGACCTCTGTGATTGCCAACCAAGGGTTTTGCCACCAAGTACTAAGTCATGTTTTGCAGAGGGGTCAAATACTTATTTTCCTCATTAAAATGCAAATCAATTCATAACATTTTTGACATGGGTTTTTCTGGATTTTTGTTGTTATTCTGTCTTTCACTGTTCAAATAAACCTACCATTAAAATTATAGACTGATAATTTCTTTGTCAGTGGGCAAACGTACAAAATCAGCAGGGGATCAAATACTTTTTTTCCCTCACTGTATAGTGTAGTGTATGGTAGTGTATAGTGTAGTGTATAGTGTCGTGTATGGTAGTGTATAATAGTGTATAGTATAGTGTATAGTGTAGTGTATAGTAGAGTAGTGCTGGAGTCTGTCACCAGGGAAAAGTGAGGCCTGGACTGCCCTACTCAACATGCTGCCGCCGCGACCCTCACCGGGACGCGCGGACTCAGAAACGAACGAACGAACGAACGAACGAACGACGAACCTCAGGAGTTCAGTACGTGCGACTCAAAACGCCCACCGTGAGCGAGGCCCGGCTGCAGCGGCGCCCGCAGAGATACGCGAGGTGTGAATGCCACCGGTCCCGGCGAGAGAGGCAGCCTTGCGTAACCGTGCCGCAGCAACGGGGGGGGGGCATACACGCAATCGGAATGACGGTTTGGCCACTGGCCAATAGAAAACTTGGTTTTTTTCCCAACCACTTACTTACTCAAACGACGCAAATATGAAGGTGCTCGAACAGCTCAGCGATAGTTTTCGGAGGAAATGGGAATGTAAAACTCAAAAATATAAAGACACAGCAGGACGTTTTATCGCGCTGTGAAAATTGTTGGAACTGCGTGTGGTTTTGAGCGGCGCATTTCTTTGCCGTAACATAAAAGGAAACATTGAGCGGACGAGCAAAATGGTCATACAAATCTTTCCGATATGTGTTTTAAAGTTTTATGTGAGTTGAACATCTTTTGCAACTGCACGTAGCCAACTGTGCTAATCGGAGGTGCGGGGGGGGGGGGGACAAACTAAACACAAAAAGCAGTTCGAAAGAAATTAGTTTTCAACTTAGATTTCAAAGTAGATAGCTCCAGTGGTTTCCTAATATCGGAAGGATGAACATTCCAGACGGCCGGCAGAAAGCGCATCTTAAAATTTGCTGAAGGTCCCAGCACGTAGAGCGAAACGTCGGACATCGTGCCGAACATCACGCGGCAAGACCCGAAAACGAGTTGGAGAGGTGCGTACAGCAAGCACGACCGAGAGAACCTGCAGTAGTTATTATGTACGTTGAACTTCTTTCGCAACCGTACGCAGCCAACCATGCTAATCGGAGGTGCGATACAATCCTTTCGCAGAAAAACTTTAACGAAAATCTATGATTTGCGCTTGCTAAGGCTGTTTAATGACACGTCAACTAATATTAGATACGATGCATTACAAATATTTGATTCGGGGAGTAAAAAAAAAACTCAAAACTAATTTTCGTAGCTCTTTTAATCAAAGTATTTAATTATGTATTAAGAAACTGGGAGCACGTGCATTATAAGCGTTCAAGATTGTCATGTTGATTATAAAATGACTTATGGCAGTCTTATGTTGAGGTAACAGCAGTTGAAGAAATTTAATTAAAACTTTACTCGAACTAGAATTACAGAAAAGCACTCGAAACAATGCAGCAAGAATGTGAAATAAAACTACCAAGTTATGGGATTTTAAAAATAGGGTTTTTCCCCTTTTTTCTGGCAACAAAACTGAAACCTTTTTACAAGGATTCATGTCTGCATTAACCACAATACCTGCAGTCAAAATGCAAACAAAACACACACTATGATAATATATGCATTGTCCTTGAAACTGATTGGTCCACACCAAGGGACGGCTTTCTTTCGAGCCTCGACCCAATTGGTGCTCGACCAGATGACGCCAAAAGGGATTTTATTGTTACATTACATCGTGGCAGCCCCTGCACAACAACACAAAGACAAAGAACCCCCGTATAGCCTGTAACAGACTGTTGGGGCAAGTACTGTTAGCGATCACCTATGAAGGCCGGCACGGCACGCAAGGGGGGTGGTGGGGGTAGCAAACCCTACGCCCGGCCGCCTTTGTCTCCCCAGTGATGATGTTTACACACCACACAAGGTACTCATTTGAGGCTGAGTGAACCTAGAGGAGGCCCAGGACCGGTTCAGATAATCGTCACTGGTGTTGGCCGTGAGCGGGAATCGAACTCGGGTCGTCCGAATTCGTAGCGCTAACCGCCACTGCACTACAAGCTCCACACAGCCCCTGCACAACAACA